ATAATAATAAATTTTAATATATAAATTAAAATATTAAAATTTTTATTTACAAATTATTAATTAAAAGAATTAAATTAAATTAATTACTAGTCGATATAAATTTAAAATGACACAATACAATTGTTACAGAAGGATAGGCGGTCCCTGTAGAACAAGAGGGACCCCGTGTCACGCGCCTCGAGAGTGCAAATGTCCAACATTCTCGAACGCCTAATATAAAAACAACAACTGAATTTAGTTTTTTAATAAAATATAATGGAAAATGGGACTTGCGGAAAAATAAACAACAACAACTGAATTTAGCAGAAAATTTTCAAATAAAAATGAAAAGGAGAAGACAAAGGGGCTCCTCTCCTCCGACCTCGAATTTCGAGACTTCGGTTTCCCTCTCGTTAAGAAATTTATTGGGATTCTCTGCAGATTCTTTCACGCGCTTCTGTCCAAGCCCTTCCCAATCTAAGTACTGGACCACGCACCTGAATCGGCGTGCCGTCACCCACCAATTAATCACGCTAACAAATAAAAGGAGAATTACAGTCAGATCCTCTAAAATTTGTCAATTAATTATTCAGACCTTTTAACATTTAAAATATACACACAGACCCTCTAAAATTTGTACATGTGCAACATTTAGACCTTGCTGTCAAATGTCTGCTACTATATCCGTTAGTAAATTATATACTCAGGGCCCCTAAAGTTTGTAGACATATAATAGTTAGACCTTTTAAATTTAAAATATTATATTTAGACAAAAAATACTCCAATCAAAAATAAAATATCAAATATGCTAAATTTTAAACCCAAATTCATGTTTCGTTGTATTATTTATTAAAATAAAATTAAAAATAAAAAGTCAATTTTTTCTTAAAAAATAGTAATTAATATACAATTATACTATCTATTCTAATAAAACTAAAAAAAATAAACAGTAAGTCTAAGTCATTCATAATATAACACAAAATATTCTAACTTTAATTGAGATAATTTGATAGTTTAATTTGATCGTTTAAACGACCAAATTAAATTACAGTAGATAGTATAATTGTATATCAATTATGAATTTTTTTTAAAAAAAATTAGATTCTTATTTTTAATTTTATTTTAATAAATATCGGTGGTAAAATTTAAAATATTTGATATTTATCTTTGATTTGAGTATTTTTTGTATAAGTATAACATCTTAAACTTGAGAGGTTTAAATATTAGACGCTTATAAATTTTAAGGGGTTTGAATGTAATTTTACTAATAGATATATAACCGACATTTTTTGGCAGAAGTCTAAGTATTATGTGCATACAAACTTCAAGGGTTTGTGTATAATATTTTAAATGACAAAAGGTCTGAGTGATTACGTGACAAATTTTAAGAGGTCTGGATGTAATTCTCCTAAAAATAAACAAGTACTATTATGTTTTGTTTGGTAAGAATGATAGAAAATAAGAGGGATGTGCATCACTTGGTAAGAATGATGAAAAATAGGAGGAATACACTTTCTATTATTCAAATAATAAAAGTAAGAATAATACCCTTTACTTTCTTTGTGTTTGATCGAATGAATGGAAAATAAAGAGTTAAATCACAAAATTGTACTCTAAAGGACTAGCTATTTTACATTTGAGCTAAATGACTCTCTACATTTGACTAGTCTCCTTGGCTAGTTATTGTATATTAGGAGAGCCAAATAACTCTTTTTACACTCCAAGAGGATAATTATTTTGCATTTTGATGACGTGTCAAACTATTTAATATTTTTGATTTAAAATATTAATAACAGATAGCTAAAATAGAGAACATGGTTAGAGTAATTTTGTAAAAATAACTCTTTAAAATAAATAATATAATATTTTAATATATTTTGAATAATTATTTTGAAGAGTACCTTTAGAGATGCTCATGAACTTAGAAGCATGAACACTCGATAAAAAGAAAAGAAAAAAAAAAGCATAAGGATTAAATGATGCAGTTGTAATAATAAATTTTTGTCTTATTTTCATTCATTTAATATTTAAGTTTCACCTACCATAGCCATTATCATATTCTTTGAACTTTTTTATAAATTTTTTAATCAATATTGTATTACTCAAAATAAAGATTATAATGGAGTGGTGTTATATATTATTAGACTCGTAAGCTCGAACTTCCTACAGAAAAAAAATAAAAAATAAAGATCAAATGATCCTGATTAATTATCAAAATTATTATTTTATTATATTTAATGATTAATTAATTATATATTATTTGTGATTAAATGTGTTAAATTCCTTAATTTTCTGATTTTATATTTTTTCTAGTTGTTTAGTTTATTTTGCAGGTAAATTGGTTGATTTAAAGTAATAATAGATAGGACAAGTGAATCAATCATTAGAGAAAGAATCACAATTGATAATGATTGAAAAGTCAAGATTGAAATAAGAAGACTTGAAGATATGACAACAATTTAATCCTTATAAGAGTTCAAGTTAAAAGAAAACTCATTTAGAGTTGAATTAAGTAAGTATTCTAGAAAATAAAGATTTGACATGTCTTCAATATTTTAGTCATAACTTTTGATTCTGATATCTGAATTATTTGATTTTTTGGGGTTAAAAAAACGACTTCAAGGGCTATAAAAGTGTATTTGACAAAAAATTTGTGATTCAACTTTTAAATATACGAAATTGAAGCTCGAAATCTGGACAAATTTTGTACCCGCGCCCCAAAGATTTTATGCACGGAATTTAACCTTACAAGATTTTTTTTTGAGAAAGGAATTCATTCTAAGATAATCTTATATCTTCTATCTATACTTAAGATTTATTTTTTAGTATAAATAGGGGTTCTCATTTAGAAATTACTATTATTCTTTTTTCTATTTTTTTATTTTTTATTTTAGTTCGTCATGTCTAGCTAGAAGGTTAAGCTAGGGCTAGGGAAGAACCTCTCAATGAAGTACGGTAATATTATTGATTTTGAGTTTAATGATTTATGATATTTTGCTAATTTAACTTTTGATTTTATAACAAAATTTTTGCTCTATAAAAATCCTTAAGTCATTGTGCCATGTACATCGATTGCTTGAATTTTTCTGCGAGTAAATAACTGGTTATTTTATGCTTGAGGTAATTGTTGTTATTTCATAAAATAATATAATTGAATGATTATTCAGGTTCCTGAATAATCTTTTGATTAGAACTTTTGGTTTTCTTACTTAATTTGTTACTTGAATCAACCGATATTTGATTCTTGTCTCAAGTTAAGATTTAAGTCTTTAATCACTATTATATGGAAATTGAGAGGGAGTACCTGATACTCTAGTATTTTTTATATTAATGTTTTAATTATTTAAATCAATTTTTTTCTACTCAACAAGTTCCTAAATAAATAATTTATTTTTAAATTTATTTAAATATTTGTGTGATTGTTTTCTTGTTACAATTGCTTGAGGGTTCGACCTCGATCTTCCGATAAATATATTATTTCGCTCAACCTGTGCTTGGGTTTACAATATTAAAGTTGAAGTAGATACGATACTATAATAATAAATTTTTTGGCCTTGTTTTTCATTCAGTTAATATTTTAGATTTATTTACCATATCAATTGTCATATTATTTTATTTTTTTTAATAAAATATTACTCAAAATAAAGATTATAATTCTCTAAAATGACAAACCTAGTATGTGAGACTCCTGCCATTGCAAGGTTTAAGAATAGTTAGATATTGTTATAATTCTCTATAGGACCCTAATTAATTTAAATTCCATTTATGTGGTTATTTTGTCAACCTGGGGATTAATCACAAATATTTTATTAATTGTATTGTGTACAAATCAATTTATATAAGAAACACCAAGACTAAACTTTTTTTTTTCTTAACCAAATACATTATTCTCAAATTACTTAAAGCCAGCTTTAATTGTACCGCTAAGCAAATAAAATTACATAAAAAATTCCCTAACTATATAATTATGTATATGATAAAAAAATGAAAATATTAATTTTTTAATTTTTTATTATTTTTTAAAATCAATTCAATATGTTAAAATCAAGTTATTTACATTTAATACTAAATTAATTTGTATATTATTTGAGTTAGTAAGACATAAAAAGATATTGTCAGAGGATTAAGTCTATCATATTTTAAATCTTATAAATTACGTTGTGTTAAAATTTGGTTAATTAATGATCGATTCATTTTTGTCTATTTTTTCGGCCTAGTATTATTGAGACATAATGGTTGTGACTATTGTATTTTCAGCGAGTTATAGCATTAAATGTACCTCACTATCAATTCAACGGTTACAATACATTATGTCCCAATATCATTATTGTAAAATTGTGCATGATTAGCTCTCCTTTTATTGTATTTATTTAGAATTTATATTAATAATTAATCAATTTTAACATGCAATTGTAATGTGTTCATGGGTTTTGATTGAAATTATCATTTTTATCACAATATTCTTTTTAAGGAAACAAATTGGATTGTAGAAATATATCTTGTGTAATAATAAGCTTTTATTGCCTTTTTTTTATTATTTATATCAGAAAATTTGTCAATTTTAACACGCAATTTTCATATCTGTTCATGTATCTATTTGAAATAACTATTTTTATCATAATATTCTTTTTAAGGTAACAAATTTAATATAAATTGGATTGTAGCAAATACTCTTAGCGCGTGATAAAACGCGCAATCATACAGACGGGAAATGAGTTGTATTATTACTCTCAACACCAGAATCCATAAATCCCTCTCTTCTCTCTCTCTCTCTGTGTTTTACTACTACGACTTCTATGTTACAACTAAATCCAGTCTCGTGCCTGCGACCGCCTCTCTCTGCATTTAGTTTCATTGCTGTAATGCTGTTTCTCTCTCTAAAAGCTGAATAGTTCAGCTCCTACCTCTGTGACAACGCTGCTTTTTAAGTTCTGCTTGGGCCACCCTTTTGTCTCCATTTCTCTCTCTAAACCTTCCTAAACCCTTCTCTCTCTCTCTCTCTCTGGAGACACAAAACCGCCATGAACAACAAAGAAAAGCTTGTGGTAGAGGTAGTTGCAGCGCACAACTTGATGCCCAAAGATGGTGAGGGCTCGTCATCACCGTTTGTAGAGGTGGAATTTGAGAACCAGAGACAAAGAACCCAAGTGAAGTACAGAGACCTCAACCCAGTTTGGAACGAAAAGCTCGTCTTCCATGTAAACGACGTCGCAGATATTCCTTACAGGACCATAGAAGTGAACGTGTTCAATGAGAAAAGGTCCAACAACAGCCGAAACTTTCTGGGTAAAGTTAGGGTCTCTGGTTCAAGCATTGCCAGAGAAGGAGAAGAGATGGCACAACTCCATACCCTTGATAAAAGAAGCTTGTTCTCTCATGTACGTGGAGAGATAAGCTTGAAGCTTTACTTATCAACGAGAGAAGAAGTGAAACAAGTCATCAATGGTGGTGGTGGGGTGGTCTCTGGTTCATCTTCATCGGCTTTTTCGAAGAAAAACAAGAAGTTACAGCAACAAGGGACTAACATGGTCGTGCAACAGTTGGGACAAGACAACAAGCTAAACCTCCAAAACCAAAGCCACCCAAAACATGTAGAACCTAGCCCTGGTGATATAAAGCCTGTTGTTATCACAACAGTTCCTGGTCCGGCTATCCCCGCCGTCAGTGCCGGCGGCACAGGCGGTGGTCATGGTGGTGGAGTTGTTCTGTACCCAAATCGGTCAAGCGAGTACTCCCTTAAAGAAACAAGTCCTCACCTCGGTGGTGGTCCTCTAAACAAGGACAAAACAAGCTCAACCTATGACCTTGTTGAGCAAATGCAATATCTCTATTGTCGGGTTGTGAAAGCCCGTGAAATTTCAGTTTTTGGTGGTGGTGAAGTGGTGGCAGAGGTGAAACTTGGGAACTACAGAGGAGTTACAAAGCGAATGTCCACAAACAATCCCGATTGGGACCAAGTTTTCGCTTTTTCAAAAGATTGTATACAATCTTCAGTGGTTGAAGTCTTTGTTAAAGAAAACAACAAAGATGAGTTCTTGGGCCGTGTTTGGTTTGATTTAAGTGAAGTCCCCAAAAGGGTCCCACCAGATAGTCAGTTAGCCCCACAGTGGTATAGAATGGAGGACAAGAAAGGAGAGAAGGCGAAAGGTGGTGAATTAATGGTGTCAATATGGTTTGGGACTCAGGCTGATGAAGCATTTTCTGAGGCGTGGCATTCTAAAGCAGCCAATGTGCATTTAGATGGGTTGTGTTCGATTCAATCCAAAGTTTATCTCTCTCCAAAGCTTTGGTACTTAAGAGTGACTGTCATTGAAGCTCAAGACATTGTTGTTTTGGGCGAAAAAGGGTCTTCAATGATGAGGTACCCGGAGCTCATGGTGAAAGTTCAAGTTGGGAACCAAGTTTTGAGAACTAGAATTGCTCCGGCGACGGCTAACCGGAGCCTTTCCAACCCTTTTTGGAATGAAGATTTGATATTTGTAGTGCCTGAACCATTTGAAGACTATGTGTTGGTGTCTGTGGAGGATCGAATTGCTCCGACCAGAGATGAGGTTGTGGGGAGGGTTCTTCTTCCGGTGATGACTATTGAACGGAGATTAGACGAAAAGCCGGTTGGTTCTAGGTGGTTTAACCTGGACATTCACTTCAACAACCCGAATGAGTCGAAAACTGTGGTGAGATTTGCTTCTCGGATACATCTCCGAGCCTCTCTTGATGGGGGTTATCATGTTCTTGATGAGGCCACAATGTATAGCAGCGACGTCCGACCGACGGCCAAACAACTTTGGAAGCCCCACATTGGTGTTCTTGAAGTCGGTGTTTTGGGTGCTTCCAATCTTATGCCTATGAAGATGAAAGAAGGCAAAGGAGGCTCCACTGATGCCTATTGTGTGGCTAAGTATGGTCAGAAATGGGTTCGGACTCGGACTGTTGTAGATAGTTTGGCTCCGAAATGGAATGAGCAGTATACTTGGGAAGTTTCTGATCCGTGCACAGTGATAACAATTGGGGTGTTTGATAATAGCCGGGTTGATAAGAACACGGGTGGTCCAGGACCAGGGGCTCGAGATTCGCGAATTGGGAAGGTTAGAATTAGGCTATCGACTCTTGAATGTGATAGAGTCTACACTCATGCTTACCCATTGCTTATGCTGCATTCATCTGGGGTGAAGAAGATGGGGGAGCTTCATTTAGCGGTCCGATTTTCGTGTGCTAATATGCTCAATGTGCTTCATACTTACACATTGCCTTTGCTGCCAAAGATGCATTATGTGCACCCTCTATCTGTGAATCAATTAGATAGCTTGAGGTACCAAGCTATGAATGTGGTGGCAACGAGGCTCAATCGAGCAGAGCCACCACTCGGGCGAGAAGTGGTTGAGTACATGCTTGATCATGACTCTCACATGTGGAGCATGAGAAAGAGCAAGGCCAATTTCTTTAGGCTCACCAATGTTCTAGCCTGGGTTGTTGGGATGACTCGAATTCTCGAGTCTCTGCGCAATTGGCATAAGCCAGTGTACTCGGCCTTGTTTCTCATCGTTTTCATTGTTCTTGTGTTGGTGCCAGAGCTTATAATCCCTTGTGTATTGCTTGCATTGGCAGCTGTGGGGCTTTGGCGATATAGGTCCCGGCCACGCCACCCACCTCACATGGACACTAGACTTTCCTATGCAGAAAGTGTTCACCCTGATGAATTGGATGAGGAATTTGATTCATTCCCAACAAGTCGTAGCGCAGAGATTGTTCGGATAAGGTATGATCGGCTGAGGAGCGTGTCGGGGAGGATTCAGACGGTGGTTGGGGATATGGCTACTCAGGGTGAGAGATTTCAAGCACTGCTAAGTTGGCGCGACCCTAGAGCAACCTTCTTGTTTGTGATACTTTGCTTATTTGCTGCGTTTGGATTCTATTTGGTGCCATTTAGGTGGGTTGTGGCTCTTTGGGGTTTGTATTATTTGAGGCCACCCAGGTTCAGGAACAAGTTGCCTTCAAAAGCTGTTAGTTTCTTCAAGAGACTGCCTACAAGGGCTGATAGTATGTTGTAGAATGGTAGTCAGAAATGGAGTGTGGTGTGTGAAGGGGACTCTAGGGATTAGAATTTGAACAGTGGAAGGCATTTTGTGTGTTTGGTTTTCGGACTCTTGCCTTGTAATGTACCTGTTGTTTTTGTTGTAAGTTATCTTAGGAAATTTTAATTGAATGCTTGTTCAAATTTGGGGCGATGAATGAATGTCCATAGTTTTGTGTATTTTATGGGAAAGTTTCTTGATGCCTATTCTTTGATGTCTGGGTAGATTCACTCTTGATTTGCCTTCACAATCGCATCTTCTTAGGGCTGATAAATGAGCTCGAATAATATTTTACTCGTCTAGAAACAAGCCTATAGTTTTGTGTATTTTATGGGAAAGTTTCTTGATGCCTATTCTTTGATGTCTGGGTAGATTCACTCTTGATTTGCCTTCACAATCGCATCTTCTTAGGGCTGATAATTGAGCTCGAATAATATTTTATTCGTCTAGAAACGAGCTTAAAAGACTCAATTTAATCTTATAAAGCTCAATTCGTTTATATGTTAAATATTCGAACTATTCGGACACGGATTGGGTTCAACTCATTTTGGGCTCACACTCAGTTCATTTTGTAAACAAACCGAATTTGAATAATTTCTAAACTTGTTTCAACGAGCTCATCAATTGCAACAGCTTCTTTCTTGTTCTGAGCAGCATGTACCTGTGGTCACTTATACCCCATTTCTCTATTGCAGGATATCTTAGTTTTAAATTTTCGCAAAAATGAATGTAGGTTTGTCCGAGTGGTTAAAGAATTGTCCATCCGAGTTGAGTTTCACCAATCGCAACATGGTTCCTATTCTATTTTAACTTGAGTCGTGTCAAATCTATTATCATGTAACTTAAAAAAACATGTCAATGATTCTCCATATTTATGGAGCTTCTATCATTGATACATGCACACAACTATAAGTTGCCTTTTAATGGTTCACAAGTGTTCTAGCAACAGAAGTGAAATGTCAGTCCAAAAGAATCCTGTGAAAAATACAAGAAGAAAAAGCCCAAGTCGAAGGCCAGATGATGCTGTGTTTCTCCCTTTTACTGCACCATCTGGGTAGTAAGCTCTAAAAAAGGAGCTAAGCGTGAATCAGTGCGGTGTGGAAGACCAGTTCTTGCTCCCAAAGCTCTACAGCCAGCAGCTGCCTGCAATCCATCTCACAGGAAAAAGTCAAACGTTTATACACAATTAGATTGAGGGTACACTTAGCTCAGAAAAAAGAAAATATCATTTGTAATGTGATGGCTATCGGTTTGTTTTCTCACTTAATCCAATTTGTAACATAATGTTTCATATGTGCTCCAACACTCCCTCCATCTGCCCCTCGGCAGGTTTTAATACCTTGTTCCTTTCGGTAAATGCCACTTGATAACTAAGACAGCAAAAATATGTTTACTAACCACTTGAGCAGCAAAAGGCAACATTTTTTCTGGTGGCATGTTGGCGCAGATAGCTACAAGTGGAAAACAGAACAAGAGTTAGTACATGGTACAAACCCCATCAATTGCCATAATTACACAACGTACTGGAAAATGAAGCCAGGAATATTTTGCAAAAGAGCGAACAGATTAAACAAAGATGATGAAAAACAAGTTTTTAATTTTTCTTTAGGGGGTGGCGGTTAAGGGAATCATGTATGTAGTTCGATAAGGGTTTGGCAGTGAACTAATTCTGTCTATCCACACAAGGCACCACTATGTTCCAAATATCAACACATTGAAACAACGCTTCTACTTATGGCACCAAAGTTTCTTTCATCACCAGTATAGAATGAGCACACTAAACCTTACCAGAACGCTTGATATGGATTTGTAGTTATTCCAGAACATAGTGCATTGTCAAAGCAATGGATGTCCAATCCAATTAAGAAAGCCTAAATTTTCTAGCAAAATGAGTGACTGATGTGGGAAAGCCAAGGTTTATTGATGTAAAAACCAATTTACTGGACATGTGTAGGGGTTGGTGAACTAGATCAATTAAGATAGTTCTAGTCACATTTGGCATATGGGTGAAAGGGATTGAGCTGAAGTAACATCCTTTTTGGGTCAGAAAAGTGTATGAATTTTAAGAACCTAAGTGCCAACAATATCATACAATCAATTTAGCAAAGAATAAAAATGGTTTCCAAATAAAATAAAACTCCCTTCACCGACATGAAAATTTAGTTCAGCACACTAATGATGGAAAAGATATGGAATCAGCATATCAAACTAGTGAGGGAAAAAACTAAACAGGAAATAGATACAAATATTATGTTGTGTTATGTCACGTACCATACAGAACTGCACCAATAAATGCATCTCCGGCACCAGTAGTATCAACAAGATCAGACGGCGGTATCTTCTCAGCCGTTCCTATAAGTAGCCTCCCACTCACTGTCCCTATCCCTTTTGCTTGCAATTTTGTCACTATCTGTTGGTGGGGTGGGGGTTAAAATAGAAATGAAGCAGAACTATCTAATCGTTGGTAATTCTAAACATCAATACTTGCTTCCATGTCAGAAAGTGGAATGCAACAAATGGATTATGGAACCATAGCTTGCTGGAAGCTTACACCATCTCACAAGTGAACTAGTAAAAACATCATCCCCCACAGGATAGATGAATTAACTACGTATACATCCATCTATAGTATTAAGACAATACACAGAATAAGGTGCAAGAGGATCTGCAGGCAGAAAGGGGATTACCGATGAAATGCATGTTGGCATGGCTGTGTTATTATCCTTTCTCTGCTTCAAATCTTCTAATACACTATCTACATCCATTTCTTCAGGGTGAACATCCTCTGCTAGAGGTAAAGTTCCAGTTAGAAGCTACAAGCACTGAAGAAAATACATAGAAAATACATGTTTGGGTCCATGCTTCCTAATTATGGGCCTCAAGATAATTTTAATGGTTGACAGTAAAAGGATCGGCCAACTATACGCACGATTTACACTTCTCTCGAGCATTATGCAACCATCTTCACCTAAGGTCACAATCACAAATTTGACATTAGGCAACCTCAAAAGCATGGTGACAAGTGCAGCTGGAACAGATGGGAACTCGGTCCAAGCCTGTCAGAGAGGATGTATGTACAAATGTGAGATAGAGTTTAGGTGTCATCAGATATACTAGGAGCATAGTTATCCCACGAACTGGAGAATGACATAATAATTTTGCACAGTAACTGATAAATAAGACATCGCAAGTGGCATAGGAAGAAAAAGATCGAGAACATGAATATAATGTTTTGGAATGGTAGCGTGAAATAGTCAACAGATTTCCACTGAAAATGGTAAAAAGCCTCTTCATGGATGTTCTGCAAACCATGTTATATCATTTACAGCTCACACCTGTTTCACAATGTAAACATTCTAAATGATTATTACAAGTTCTAAGAGTTGCAGAACTTTGTCAGTTACAAAGCCAATCAATTATGCAGGTAAACAAACAATCCAACACTGAAAGAGAGAGAGTGCATCAGTGTATCTGCTTTATCGTAAGGTTGACTATGTTTCAAAAGCAGACAGCTCTTGCTAAACATATAAGGCAAAAAGGAAAAGAAAACAAGTACCTCATTCTTAGTTAACAAGCCAGAAGGGGATTCCTGGACTTTAATATGGTACCAAACTATTTCAGTAAAATAGAAACCATTGACAGTAGTTTGTCACAATAATAAACTTGCCTGTGGAAATTTTGCTGAGCATACAACATAATCAGACAAATTTAGAAGATCATCCAACCCTTCCCTCTTCCTTTCTGCATCAATTAGAATAGGTATACCCTTGCGATTTGCCTGCACTGGAAAAGCAATGGGCAATTATTCAGAAAAATTCCTTTCAGAACAATCAGATTTCCCCACCTTTATGTTGTTTATCTAATAATTCCCAAAAATCCAATGATTGGCAGTCATCTCCAGCCTCACAACCCCCTAACGAAGAAATATGGTTCAAACCGAGGATGCCTCTCCATTACTGATCACCTCATGTTCGTTTGATAAAAATTAAAGGGACTCAAGAATCAAGGACTGAAGGTCCTAGGGATTATTACTTGTGAAGAAGTAATTCCTTATACATATCACAAGACCTTAGTACCCTTAAAGTTCAATGAAACTGAAGGCACTTTATCAGCCTCATCAATTCCAAATATACAACATGGGATGCACCCTCCCAGCTCAGCTTAAATATTTCTGTGCTATTAATCCATATGCTGTTAACTTCAGATTAAACGATGCCATGCTAGAAAAGCAAAAAATATGATTGACAGTTTGGCTTGCTTTGTCCAATTCATTCACCAAATAGCAGAACCAAGTCAGACATAAATACAAATACACTAAAGGAATCAGAATCAAAAGTCAAATGAAATAACCTCTTGTGCAACAACTAAAGCAGTTTCAGGCAATCTTCCATCAAAATATGCAAGTCTTGCTCCATCCAATGCGGATGTCAAACTGGACTTGGCAAGATCATCAGGTATCATGAGAGGGAATCCTGGAGAGTGAACGCAAGTACGAGTTTTCCTGAAAATATCATATGAGAATTATCCCTTCAGAGCCACAACTCCCACGACAACTTTCCAAGATGATTGGGAACAATTTCAAACATAGGTCTGATGGTGATGCATATTGCCAGATGTTTGGGAACAATTTCCAACATGGGCCTCTGATGAAGTTGTATGGTGAAAGAAAGAAAGTAAATATGAAAAAAAGAAGGAGGTGTGCAGCAAGAAACCACTTTGTTCAGTCCGCTTGCCTACCATCTGCCAATTCAATGCCCGAAGATAGGAAAACAAAAATCGCACCCTCATCAAAACTTGTAACTAAAATCAAAGAGAGGTTACATCTTGTTAAGGTTGAGTTCACAAAAAGTTTTTCAATTAGTTGACCAATATATGTGCAAAAATCAATACTTTATATACTGATTAGGTTGATTTTTTCCATCAATTGACTTTTGCTGGAGAAAAATAGAGAGTAGGAAGTGGCATCAAATAGAGAAGACAAACGAGTTTTATACATAGAAATGAGACATGTTCTTCTTCCTTCTGCTGTTTTCTTTTCCTAACTTTCAGTTTTTCAAATCACAATAAAAACGCGCAGAGGTGGTGCACGTTCAATTACTCACTTACGGTCTTATTCTGCTAGTTATTATTAAATCAAGTACCAAGTGTCCAACAAACTAGTTGTTTAGTTATGTATAGCTTCAAATCATGATTGTGACTAAATCACATGGACCTTACTACTGCAAAAACCTTAGGAATCTATAAGAACCAAATGTACTGCTCAACAGATAAAAGGAAATCACAAAATTACCCCAGTACTTACAAATTCAAATAAAAGTAACAAAAAATTCAATTTTACATGAATAGAGAACAATACTTGGTAAATCAATAATCAGAAGGGGGAAAAGACATGTAAGCAAAGACCCTCACGTTTGGTTGTCAACAATGATATAGGTAAATGGTGAATTGCCCTCCTTAGAAACCTGAAAACAAGACCAAATTATGAAGATGAAGAAACAAGAAGCTCATGCAAGATCACATTGCAATAATACTAGCCATAGCCAAGTAGTATTACTCTTTGATTCCCTGGTTTTTACAGAAATAAAAGCTTCATGAAATATTAATGGCACAAATAAAATTCAGCCTACCACAATAAAAGAAGTATCTACACCATCAGCTTTTAGTTCTTCAAGTATTCCTCTCCCTTGAGTGTCATCGGCAATCTGGCAATTAATTTGAGTGCACATTTAATGCCTATTAGGTACAAAAAGGCAGGGACCGAAATGATTTTAGAAGTTGTCACTTAATACTATATTCTACTGAAAGTATAATTCATGTCCTTAAGATTTTATAAATCATAACTATGGTGGAAGCATAATTTAACAACAACTCGAGAATAGGGTCAGTATCAATAGGCAATAAAACTGAGAGACCTTGGAAATCAGCCTTGGATTTAATCCCAAACGAGCTGCACAAGTCAAAGCATTCCCTGCATTACCACCACCTTGAACCTATGAAAATAAACTGACAAACGTTGTGTTATCTATAGCTTGATAGTGTGTAAAACCTTTGTCATGCCCTTATTAACCCGAATCCATAAAAAATGCATAACTAAACGTGTGAGCAAAAGATGATCGTACCATCAAGCTGGTGCTTCTGATCTTGTCATCGGGTTTAGGATAAGAAGCAACAGTCGCCAAGAAGTCTACCCCAATTGCACCGCAACCTAGCTGCAAGCATACACTTCTACTTACGTTAGTCTATATAGCAAAAAAAACACATGTATATTCGAGTTTTTTGCTAGCTTACGCCGACATTTCCGACATCGGAAGACCATAAATCTAGTATACCCCCGGAATTGATTGGCGCATTTTTAGAATTTGCGTATCCACAGAGAAAAATCTAGTAAAAATTACATATAAAAAAACGTACGACGATCCGATTCTCGAGGAGAGGAGGAAGCGTTGTGGAAGCCTGAGTCGACAGAGACGACATTTTCACCCTGAAATTTGCAATTAACGTAATTTCTTCCGGCCCAATTTAATTATGTATACATCGCAGTGATGAAAGGAGAAAGTAACGCAAGCTATCTAGGATTAGACCTGGTTTGGGAGGCGGAGAGAGAGAAATTGAAGAGTGAAGGAGGAGGAGGAGGAGGAGGCGCCGGCAGCGATGGAGAGGAGAGAAAGCTCAGAGTCTTCCGAAGCGTGGGGCTAGGACTGGAGTACACTGTCGACATTTATAAGAGCTCCGTGGCTTATGCCTACTGGATTCTCAACAAGTGTGTGTGTGTGAGAGAGAGAGAGGGGGGGGGGGGGGGGGGTCTGGATTAGCAGGAAAAAGGCGTTTGTGGTTGGAGTTTGGAACTCGGGGACTAAATAAGAGCATTGCCATATTGGTCCATTTACAGCAGAAATGGTTTATCCAGATGCTTCTATTACGGTTTTCGCCGGCACCCAACCTACTTTCTATCTAATTAAATTTTGATCCTGTAATTTTTTGTTTTATTTTATTCTTTATTATCACTTTATTATCTTTACAATCAAGGGCAACATCGGATAATTTTGAGTGTGTGTGTGTTAATATACCTCTACCTGGCCCCGACTCTGTAGAGTTGGTGGTTAGGTTAGAGTAATTTCAAAAAAAATCAAGGGCAACAATTTTATTTTATTTTATCAGAAGGGGAACAATTGAATATAACCAAAACATACAGGTTCATTTCCAATTTACGTCTCCTATTGTATGGTGTCATGAATTGAGAATTTCACACACGCAGACACGTGTATACAAATCGTAACAAAAAATTATCGGATAAACTATAAATTCAAATGACTTGAATTTTAATCTTAATAATATTTTGGGTCTAATACATTTATAGATTTATCCCTCACGAATATCCTAATTTTGATATAAATAATTTATTTTTGAACAGATAAAAAAAAAATTAATGGAGGTGTGCATAAACCGGTTCAAATTCATCACCGTTGAAAAAAAAAAAAAAGAAATCGCGGCAATCAAACTCGTGGACTAACACCAGCAAAAAGGCTTTTTTGAATATCAATGGCCCTTCTTTACTGTACGTTTACCAAAAACACTAGAAAGATGCTTCATACCCAGCACCATCATCCCAAGCACGCCTTGAGACTTGAGACAAGTCCAACTATGTTGGAGATGTGGGTGACTGAGTCTGTGTTACGCTACCCGATTGGGTTGACTTACGGTGGAGATTTGGAGGGGTAATGAGGTGGTGGTGACAGCCAACCAGTTCGCATAGGGAGTCGCAAGGGCGGAGGAGTGTTGTGGTATACGGGGCGATGTTTCAAAGGAGAGAGACAGAGAGAGAGAGCTTTTTTTTTTTGGGTCATTGAGAAAGAGCTTGAGTTGGATGTGTAGGGACGATCGATCAACACAACATCGTTTTGCTGCGTTTTTGAGGTTAAAAGACGAGCCGGATCCAAATGTGTGTGAGACAAAGATTGACAGAGAGAATTTGCTCTTTGATTATTGGATTAATAGTATTGTTTGTCCAAGAATTCATGTTTTTTCAATTTTAATGTCACATTGGCCTGTTTGATAAAGAGTTATTTTGCCAAATATATTTATTTTCTGAGAAAACATGATTATTATGTCAATCAGATCACTGATCGGCACTATGATTATCGCAATCCTTAATGAGAAACCTCATTGAGGAGGCTCGACCACCCCTTAGTTTGGTGCTTATAACGCGCTATGGAACCTCCATCATGCCGACGAACCAAGGAGAGCAAAGCTAGTGACATTAGAGCTAACTTAGCATCAGTGGCTTTATGCCTGCATTGGAGTGATCTAATATGTGGTGTCGCACGTTCCACTACCTCTCCATTCATTCGAGTGAAAATATAATATTGCTATTGCTTGGTTTACTTTTTAGTAAGACGTTAAAAGGGACGGAACAAGAAATTTGCATTAATCTTTACTAAGATATTATTATTTATATTATTATAAAATGTTAACAAAAGTGGGAAAAAAAAATTATTGACCATAATAGCCATAATAAAATAATTAAAACCCATAATACCCTTTTCGAGTTACTATATTATTTGTGATTGTGTCTATTGAGCTACTGTTCTATCCTTTTATATTAGTTATACCATTAGGTAATCCTATACTGTTAATATTATTGTTCATTCGATAACTATTGTATATAACTCTTACATGGTACCAACTCTAGGAAATGAATATAGCACTTAGTAGAGTTCATGAACTACTAAAGTAAAGTTAATACAGTAATTATCTGGAAGTCGGTTCATTTCATGACTTTTGATATGGCTTCTTACTGTTTGTTTATATTCTCATGACAAAAAGTTCCACAACAAGCTTAGTGCATGAACTATCACATCCCCTCGATTCATGCAGAATATGTTGACTGTTTTTGCAATTCCAAGTGTGGATGGGGCTTATTCTAAAACACAAATGAACAAGTCACCATCCCCTTATGAACGGAGGCAGAAAAAAATGTTCAAGAATAGAGAATTTGTAGCCTAGTCACTAACAAAATTTGTTTTCCTTATAATATAAGAGTACCAAATCACAAACACTTCAAACTTTCCTGTCTTGTTATACAATCACAATTACTTCTCAGCTAATTTTTGTACTTTTGAATGAGTTGTCGTAGGATTTCTAACCTTCATTCATATTTATATAATAAAATATCTTACAATTTAAATCTTAAAAGATAAACAAAATGACTTTTGTTATTCGCGGTTGAGATCGCTTTAAATTTTATTTTAAGGTTAATCTAACGACTAATATTAACACCCTAAATTAGTAAATTTAATGGAAAAAATAGACTTCTAAGGATGTGTTTGGAGTGACTTTTTAAAAATATTTCTACAAATTATTTCGCATAAATACAATAAAAAAAAATTGTATTTGAAACCGTCTCATCACCACCTCTACCACCACCGCCGCCGCCAGTACCGTCGCCGCCACCACTACCCACCACAACCATCATTGTCTCCTATCACCACCACTGTCGCCTACCACTATAAATCAATGCTTAAATTCATTTATCTCTTATCTATATTTTGTGATTTGATTTTTGATCTAAATACAAATATGTTTATTACTTACCATTTTTTATTACACTGTGTCTTCAGGCATAAACAATAACTAGTTTATATAATAAACTAGTTTACAATTCAAATCTCAAAAGATAAACAAAATGACTTTTGATATTTGTGGTTGAAATCATTTTAAATTTTACTTTAAAATTAATCTAACGACTAATATTAACACTCTAAATTTAATAGAAAAAATAGACCCTCAATTGTGTGTTTGGAGTGACTTTTAAAAAGTGTTTTTAAAAATTATTTCTCATAAATATTTAAAAAATAAAAGTGTTTAAAACCGTTCCACCACTACCTCTACCACCACCACTACCACCACCACTACCACTGCCACTGCCACCACCACCACCGCCACTATCGTCGTCGCCGTCATCACCACCACCATCTGTCGTCGCCACCACCACCGCCACCACGGTCATTGCCACCCACCACAAATCAACACCGTCTCCTACCACCACCACTGCCGCCCACCACCTCACTCCCACTACAAATTGATGTTTAAATTTTTTTATCTCTTTTTTATGTTTATAATTTGATTTTGGATATGAATACAAATATGTTTATTATTTATCATTTTTTATTACTCTGTGCCTTAAGGTACAGGCAATAACTAGTTCAATAATAAAGTAGTTTACAATTCAAATCTCAAAAGATAAACAAAATAATTTTTGCTATTCGCCGTTAAGATCGCTTTAAATTTTATTTTAAAATTAATGTAACGGCTAATATTAACACTCTAAATTTAATAGGAAAAATAGACTCCTAAAGGTGTGTTTGAAGTTACTTTTAAAAGTATTTTTAAAAATTATTTATCATAAATATTTTAAAAAAAATAATGTTTGAAACCGTT